ATTGAGGTCCTTTGTCCTCCAAATCCTGACATTTTTAATTATATTTCATCTTTACGGGTTCCATCATGCATATGAGGATACCCTTCTCGTCATACACACAAACCAAACAAACATGCAACAGGCGTGAAACTATTAGACACTATAATAATAAATCAAATTTGAATCAAAGGTTAATAAACATCAAATTCCATAACCATTCAATCAATTAAGAGCACCATAGCTATGGTTTATCTAATACAAACAACAAGGAAGGATTTGTTCATGAAGGATGAGGAAACAAATAGAGGAAAAGAGGAAAAACTGATCTTCATGGTAGAAGTCTTGATCTATTTCTCCAAGATGACTCCTTTGGGGTAGAGCTGCTGAAGATTCCTCTTTTCTATCCTCTAACTTGTATTTGATGTTTTAGGTTAAGTCTACCCGAACACCCATAAAAAGAGGCTAAAATCAACTTATGTAGTGAAGGCAGGGAGTAGCTCACGGCATGGGCGAAGGCAGGGAGTCGCCCACAGTATGGGTGATGACCATGGCCTACATGTGAAAAGTATTCGAATCTGATCCTGAATAGGAAAAACCAATTAACCATAAAGGAGCTCCAAAGACAATCATTTCATAAGCAAAAGATGTGGATGTCGTTAACACTCAACCTAATAATCTTTCTACCACGAATCTAACTCCTAAGCATTTGCAATTCAATCGAGTCTCCACAAAGTGGGTCACCATTAACTTATTTGGAGGTCTTTTACAATAGGGTTGTAACGTGTTTAGGATCTAGGACACGTGAAAAAGGTTTTTAGGGGTAGAAGAATTCATTGTTCAAGGTTTCTCAAATACCAAACAGATACCACATAAAAAAAGGAGGAAGATTTTCTACTTTTGAACTCGAGTTGCACAAGAGAAAAGGAGGAAGGTTTTCAAATCTTAAGAGTTTACTTAGCATTTGGGCATGAAGTACAACTATTTAATAGGTGCGACATCTCTCCTATTTTTTCTTTAGATAAACCAATAACACAATAATGAAGTATGCAAACAATATGATATAAGTATACAAACTAAATCATAAAATTATACGAATTAATATTATAAAATATAAAAATGATAAAAGTATAAAAGTTCTCGTTTTATGTTCGGTGCACACTTTATTATGTGCATTCAATGCACTCGCTTTATAATCTTCATTCCTTTGATTCCTCCACTTCGTCGCTGAAGTCTTGACTCCCGAAAGGAACCCTAAGCCTCGTCTTTCTTGATCAATTGGATTATGGAGCCCAAGATTCTGATCAAAAGCTCCTCGTGTGGAGCCGGCTTTGCCAACATCGTTATCCGGGAAGAGATTCAGGACGAGATCGAACATGTCGACCATCCGGGTAAAAAGACGAGGCAGATGGAGCAAAAGAGGAAAAGTTGCCCAATAGGTCTTTCTGGGTTGGAGAGAATTACTTATGGATATAGGGGTTTTGCCTTGAAACCTCCATTTTCCGCAGGAAAGCTACGATCTTTGGAAGCAGATTGATCGATTGTTCAAATCGTCTCCCTGAGTTGCGATTCATCCAGTATGTGGAGGAGAGCATTGGTGCAAAGAGGCGCAACGATGGATTCGACAGGGTCTCAAGGAGCAGGGTTATGACAGGGTCACGCCCGTCTCAGGCAAATTTGAGGTAGGGGACTAGGCTGGGATGGAGATGGTGGATTCGTGAGGCCGGCGACTTGAGGGAGTTGGAGAGGGATGAAATTAAAAGAAGACAGAATGATTAGATGGGGTTTTGGGTAGGCGGTGAATGTTTCGAGGAGAGGAGGAGCAGGGTTCGTTGATCTGCCATCGCCGGCCAGATTAGGGGGCAAGGAGTAAGGGTCATAAATCTGCCATCGCCGGCCAGATTGTCACCATCGTTGCTGCTGGCGCCATCGCACGAGAAGTGAGTGATGGGAGAGGAGAGAGGATAAGAAAATAATTTATAATTTTTTTTATTTATTTTTAAATTAAAATCTGACATGACATTCATGCGGTAAGTGTTGTTGAGTTGTCGATGATGTGTTTGGTGAGTTGGCAGCCATGTAATCATTCTGTTAATTTGACTAACGGTGTTACTGACGCCCTCAAATTATGTAACGGTAATTGGTGTACAAATAATCAAACTTTCAAATGGGGTCTTCCCTACAGAACTGAATCACACTCTGATAGCCTTAATCCCGAAGGTAAAAACCCCCTCAACACCAAAAGATTATCGCCCTATCAGTTTGTGTAATGTCCTCTACAAAATGGCAGCAAAGGTTTTAGCGAACAGACTGAAGGTTTTGCTTGATAATATAATTTCGCAGAATCAAAGCGCTTTTGTTCCGGGGCGTTTCATTACCGATAATGTCATGGCAGCATTTGAATGCTTCCATGCGATGAAGACAAAGGAAAAAAGTCAGCGAGGGGTCTTTGCAGCAAAAATCGACATGGCAAAAGCATATGATAGGGTGGAGTGGAGATTCCTGGAGGGGGTTATGAGAAGAATGGGTTTCGCTGACAGATGGGTCCAACTAATCATGTCCTGTGTGAGCATGGTTACTTACTCAGTTTTGGTTAATGGACATCAGTCAGAGCGTTTCACCCCACACGAGGGCTAAGACAGGGAGACCCGTTATCGCCCTACTTGTTTTTACTTTGTGCAGAGGGACTCTCCTCGTATACAGCGAAAGTGTCTGCGGAGGGAGGCCTGCATGGTATTGCTATTGCTAAGCACGCTCCACCGATTACTCACTTGTTTTTTTGCAGATGATAGCATATTCTTCGGGCGCGGAACCATGGAGGAATGCGACTCACTGAGATTGATTCTTGAGGCCTATGAACTTGAGTCGGGACAACAGATTAATCGGGAGAAGTCATAAATATCTTTTAGCAAGAAGGTACCACATATCCGCAAGAAAGAGATAGGGGATAAGCTGGGAATGACTGTAGTTCAGAAGCAGGGGAAATACTTGGGGTTACCTACTGAAGTTGGTCGTTCGAAGAAGGAAGTGTTCGCGGGCCTAGTGGACAGAGTGAGGAAGAAGTTAAATGGCTGGAAGGAGCGTACTCTTTCTGTGGCAGCTCGTGCTGTCCTCATTGAATCGGTCGCACTTGCCCAACTAACTTATGCAATGACTGTCTTTCGAATCCCAGAAGGTAAAATATCGGAAGTCCACCGGATTGTGCAAAATTTCTGGTGGGGCCAAAAGAAGGAGGAAAACCGGTTGGCGTGGGTTAGCTGGGATGAGTTGTGTAGACCAAAAGAGGAGGGCGGATTGGCTTTTCGGGACTTGGGTGGCTTCAACACTGCTATGCTAGCAAAACATTTATGGAGTATTTCTCAACGCCCGAATTCCCTGATCGCTAGACTACTGAAAGCGCGCTACCATCCAAACACGGAGATCCTCGAGGCTGAAGTGGGTTACCGACCGAGTTTTATCTGGCGGTCACTAATGAGCTCACAAGATTTTCTCAGACAAGGTTTGCGGTGGGTTGTTGGAAATGGTGCCTCCATCAGGGTGTGGGGTGATTGATGGATTCCCTCCATTCCCAATTTCTTTGTACCTACAGCTCCAAAGGAATTGCCGGTGACAGCGGTTGTTCGTGACCTTATATTACCAAATGAGGAATCATGGAACATGACTCTCCTCGACAATTGTTTCTCTACGGAAGTGGTGGCAGCAATATCACAAATCCCGTTACGGGGAGCGAACGAAAAGGAAGTGGTTTGGGTGGATTCCAAGAGTGGTCTATACACAGTTAAGTCCGATTATCAGACGTGGCTGAGAAGTAAGACAGTCGAGTCACATGCTACTACAGTGGTATCGACGGAATTGTGGAAGAGGATATGAAGATTAAATATCCCACCGAAAGTGAAATACTTCGGATGGAGGTTTGCCCGCAATGCGCTCCCAACGGGAGCTAACTACTGCAAGAGGGATGAGAAGGGCTATGAAAGTTGTCTGTTTTGTACATTGCCGGAGACTCAAACACACTTGTTTGGTGAATGTGGCTGGACAACTAGGATTTTGCGGCCAACTAATTTGGCTTATTTATTTGCCTGTCGTCAAGGTGATAATTGTGCAGCTTGGATGCTTAGAGCTTGTGAGATTGCGCAAGAAGGAGATTTGGAGAGATGGCTTGTTTTCTTGTGGTTCTTGTGGAAAGAGCGTAATGCTCAAATGCACAATGGACACAAACTTGAGGAAGGCCAAATTGCTTTGCGAGCTGATTTTCTATTGCATGATTACCATGTGCATCAAGAGAATGAAAGTCCCATGGATGGCGTTCCTCATGTGGCAGTCTGGACCCGGCCACCGCCGGGAGTGACGAAGATAAACGTGGACACTGGGATGGTTGCAGGAGCTAGCATTTGTCTTGGACTAGTAGCTAGAGACTCATCTAGCCGTTTCATCTTTGCCGCAACTAAGAGGATTCAAGGGGCCTGGGAGCCGGAAGTAGCGGAGGCCCTGGCCATCGAGTTCGGCATTCATATGGCGGGAACCCTCCAAATCCAAAGCTTCTAAATCGAAACAGACTGTCTTTCAGTGGTTCAGAAACTTTGTGGTCAAGAAGTCATTATCACCGAGCTGGGTACAATATGTATGAGTATCAAGAGGGCCCTTGGGATGAGATTAGAAGAGGCGATCCGCGTTGTTAAAAGGACAGCGAATGAAGCGGCGCATCTAATGAGCAAATGTAGTACGAACTGGAACTCACCAGTAGTATGGCTAGATAGGCCACCGATGATTGTGATTGATCATATACGGCTGGACGATGTAACAACATTTTATGATTAATAAATGCTCAATACAGGTTGACATAAAAAATATTATTATTATTATTATTATTATTATCATTATTTCATAAAAAAATGTCTATTATTGTCACAAGCATCACAATTTTGGCTATGGAATTTTGCCAAATAAAAATTACTTCCGTACAGTCGGAACTTCTCTCAATTTTGGCATTTTCCCTCTAATTCCACGTCGCCCTTTCTCCCTTACCCCTCGCACGAAACACTCCCATGGTTGTCACGCCGGCCGGCGTGCCACTGGTTGAACCTGGTTCAACCTGTACCGGTCATAAAACCGGCATGACACCATCGGTATGACCGGCATGATCGATATACGAATCTCCAAGTAAAATGATCTTATTTTAGTAAATTTAATTGATAAAAAGTCATTTATTATTTGTTTTATGTGTTAAAAAGTTAAATGTTGATGTTATTTGTAGGATTCAAGTACAAATATTTAGGTATTTACATTAAATGTCGTGTTTAAATATGAGCATTTGTAAATTATTTGAAATATTAACCGATATGAACCGGCACAAACCGGTATGTACCACCGGTCGAACCATTCCACTTGCTAAACCGGCACACTGGCATAAACCGGTTTGACAACCTTGCTCCCAGGAGACAGGGCCAGATCTTTAGTAGCTTCCGAGTTGACTCGGGTTCTGCTGGCCTCAACTCAGTCTCTGTCCGATCATGAAGAGTGGCTTCGAAGTTTTCGAGTTTGGCGAAGAAGACGAACTGACGGAGCGCGCGGATGCCAAATTCCTGAGCAAGTTCAAAAACCCTAACCCACCCGACAATTCAACATGCCAATTCGCCAAATGCGGTTCGTTCTCTGGAACTTTCACCTGATTGTGATGCTGGATTTCATTTCTCTTTCAGATTTCATTTTCTCTGAGTTATCTGATATGGAGCTGCATATTGTTTTGCACAGCTGTAATGTTGAAGATTCTAAGTTTCCTTTTGAAAGTACTATGCCATTGCAGCTTCTGTCTGCCTCTCTGGTGTAGCTTTTAGTTCGCTAGCAGAATGAATTAGTTCCATGTACTAGTTGCGACAATTTCTTTCGTCCCTTCGGGGGTTGTTCTCAATTCTCATTCTAGCCAGGGTATAGCGAAGGGGATGAGGGAAATTTTAGCGCTTTATTTTAGGTAGCAAGCCATCTCCGTGGAGCCCTCCTAGTCCTAGTTAAGGTTTCATGGCTGCCGCATCAGGTTTGAAGGGGTTATGACTTGATCAGTAAATGGTCAAGAATTTGAATTTCAGATCTTCCATGAAGGTTCTGCTACAGGTTGTTTATGTGTGTATGATTTGTATGGTAAGGAGTGGTTTATTAAGTCATCAACGTTCAAATAGTATACTCTTTAAGACTAGAAAATTGGTGTTCTCCTTTGAAGGACTAGTATGGTGGTGGTTTTTGTTGCATTCAGTCATGCAATTGGGGCAACTTATTTGGTAGGAAAGCAATGAAAATGGTCTTAAAATTTTTTAGTCATTGATTCATCGAATATTTAATGGAGCTTCTGGTTGGAATTCTTATGGGAGTTACTGGGGCAAGCTTTTGCCCTTCGAATGAGATTGAAGTTTTTCGGATATGAACCAGGTGGTGAGATTTGAAGCATACCACAATTCCTCAATTTTCATTTCTAGGATTTGAAGCATGCCATATTGTGAAATATATACTTAACTCCGAGTGTTTGCTGGAGGCCATTATTCTGAAAGCATCTTTTGAACTTATACAGTATCATTATTATTTTGGTTAAAAGACTGTCTTTTCCCCTCTAGACTTTTTTAAACCAAAGTAAGAAACAGTATTTTGCACATTTATGCACTCCGCTCTAAACCACCTTTCTTGGTACCTCATCTAGCAATGATTACAAAATCCATCCGTTCTCGTGTATACAAAATTTGCACATTCCTGTATCTTACAATCTAACAGCCATGTGACATACAACCTTGTAGTACTTTAGGTCAGGGGATCTTCCTTTTATTATGAAAATGGTTGTTGACCAAGCATTTTGAGTTCATATTACTCTTATGGATTAGGACGTACTATTTAATTTGGCAACTCCAGAGCATTGCATGCACCTCTACATCATAGATATTCCTAGCTAGTAAGTAAACTAACTATTCTTGTCATGGGGTTCTTTATGTAACATTTGCTGCTTGTAGTCTTCAGATTTTGTTGTCTCTCTGAATATCACTGTTGGTAGAGTTGTAATGGCGCAGTCATGACTTGTAGTCGTTGTTTTATTTGTTGTCAACAGTTGCTCGTACATCTGATGGTCCAAGTGAAAAGGTTGATAGATTAGCCTTTGTAGATGTAGATGCCACTGAACATGATCAGCAGGTTGGCAATCACATTACAGCAGCTTCTCAGATGGTTGAGAAGGATTTAGCTGCCAAAGAAAGGAAGCCTTGCCAAGATGCTGCTTCTCTAAGTTCCCTAATTATTAGTCATGACTTCCATTCAGAGATTGATTGCTGTCAAACTGCAAATTCTTCTATTGAGCAGGAGGAGAGAATTACATTCCTTAAGGTATCTTCACCTGGGAAAGTCCAATCCAATGTTTCTTTCGAGCTTCTGTCCAATATGTGCTTGCTTTACATCTTATTCATCTTATAGCTTACACTTTTAGCTGAAGAGCATGTTTACCTTGTCGACACAGAGTGAGTCTAAGAGTATTGTCCCTGTTGCTGACGACAACTTTGCTGAAAGTGATCCATCAAGAGTGTCTCCTGCGATTGCTAGAGATTGTGGTACTTCTGTTTGATAAATTTACTGCATAACTTTACCAATCCGAACTCTAAAAATTGGTACCTTATGATGATTACTGCTGCTGAATTTCAGCTTTTTTAAATGGCGTTCCTTCGACAAATTGTTTTGACAGCCTGCAAACGGTATGTCATTTCACTTTTATGCATTCTTAAGTTAATCTGCTGCTGCAATTTGGCTGGATACCTTTGGAATTTTTATCTGTAGTTTGCTGTATGATTGATGCTGCATCTTAAGTTCTTAACTGTCTGTTTGGAGCACTCTTTAGTTCATTGTTATAGGACTTATGTCCTTGTTGATGGGTCTGGTTAATCGACTTCCCTTTTGTTTGGGTTTCTACATGGCATTGTTAGATGCCATCCTGATATCGCAATACTCTATTCCTAGATTCATTTAGCGCGTTGCTACCTGCTGTTGTCTATTGTCAGTTCTCATTGGTTAAAATTGGGGGGGGGGGGGGGGGGGGGGGGAAATTGTCCTATAGTTTCTTAGTCGAACCGTTCAACATCTTGTAAGAATCTGATGTTCTGTTGGCTACTTGTATCTAATCTTGTAAATTCTTTTATGATCTAGGGACTAACCATTTCTTATTTACCGATTTGCAGGCTGAAGCTGAAATATGTATTCCAGTTGACTATGTCGTCTATCAAAAGAACTTCTTACCAGGATGCTCAGTGGTCTTCTCTCATGACAACATCAAAATCAGCGGTCTAACTACACCTGAACAAGACCAAGAAATCCATAGCCTTGAAAAGGGTATTGATGACATCGTCCATATCCAATGTGAACAGCTCCAAAGGGTTTGTACAATTGCACTTGGTGATAACCTCTAATATTTTGAGGAAGTTGGTTTTCCGAACTTTACATTGCATTGTCTACATGTTCTCCAGTTTGAAAGTGTCTCTGTTAAGCTCCATGTACTGTCAAAGGATGCAGGACAAGTTCATGGAACCTCAGGTTTGGGTCTTACTTTTTAGTTTTTGCATTGTTGATTGTCGCTATATTTTGTGCTCTTAACACATGTAACTTTGGGTACTTTACCTGAGAGTGGTGGTTCTCTTACTTCAAGAACTGGAATGTTTAGTGCTCTATTTATCTGTCAGGGTTTACCACAGCATGCTCGTGCCCATCTTTTAGTAATTAAGCAAAAGAGGACTTCCTGTGTAGCATGCTGGATTTATGATAAACAACGGTTGTGTCACTCAGGAATTGGATAACTTTACACATGTATTCCATCCTTTTAACTTGGAAGTATATTACTTTTACTGATAAGTTTGACTTGAACCAAATGGAGCAAGTACTTTGCCTATTCCACTTGCACAGTAAGTAACATACCGTTTGGCACTTTGTTAAGTGGTTAATCTGGGCTGTGGGGTAGGAAGCCAACCTGAGAGGAGGCTACTTAATTTCAGACTACAGCTGGAAGTTTCTGCATAGCATGTTTTCAACGCAGTTTTCATCCTTCATGCCTTCTGTGATGTTGTTATGAGTGCAATGGATAGATGATGAAGAAATATATAGCAATGGCTTTTCCACAATTTATGAACAAATATCTAATACTCAAAGACAATACAAGTTGATTTTTGGAGATATGTGGAATGTTGTGTTTAGTTTCCAGTTGTCATTTCTATTCAATTAATGCTTTGAAATGCTAAATGTTTTACAATGACGATTCTGATTTTGCTTTCACTAGGTGTAGAGGAGTTGGAGTTTGTAGTCAGTGACCCAGATTGGTCAGGAAGGTGGCAACAGATCACATCTTTGAATGTGAAATACATGAGTCTTTGGAGAGCTGTTCACGAGTAAGTTCTTTTTAACCTATATAGTAATGATCGTTCATACAATTGGCCTGGATCTGAGTTGCTCCCAGCAGCACATTATACTGATTTTGTACATGTTATATTCAGCCTGTTGCAACTGTGGCGTTCTGGAAGAAAGCCCTTCTTACTCATTAACATCTTCATGGGAAATGAATATCTCTTTTGAGTTTCTTTCAAAGCCTTGGATATACAGTTAAAGTGTTAAACTGATTACTTTAATTAACTCTGCTTGATGCTGGAACATAAATGGTATATAAACTGGAAGGATGTTAGCTGGCTAGCTGCTGTTTCCTTCTCTCGATTTGATGTTGTCGCCTTTACGTGGGTGTGCAGTTCTCCCTATGTCCTTTCTTTTTGGCTCTTCATAATTCCCCCCACCTTTTGATTCCTTCCTTGTAGTAATGAAGATGGAAGAGTTGACCCACTTCCAAGAAAGCCGCATTTCCCAAAGTAAGTAGTAGATATTGCTTATATTCACTATTGGCTCAACTGTCACTATCCGTTGGAGTTGGTGACCGTAACCTCGTTAAACTTTCATGCATTTCCTCCATCTTTGTTAGCATTACTGCTCATTTTAATTTGCTGTACAAGTTGACTTCATGTAGAGAGTGATTTTATTGGTTTCAATTTTGGGATGAAATATACGAAGCACACTTCTCCTTTGAAGCGTTTGCTGGGTTTCGTTTCTCTACTCTAGTGAGCTATGCTGGCTGTTATAGCGGAATCTATTAGTTCACAGTTTTTAGTCTTTCTTTCTTATTGAAAGCTGGAAATTGTGCAGTTTTGAGAGGGTTTTTGAAGATGTTATCTATCCAGAAGGGGATTGTGATGCAGTTTCTATCAGCAAGAGAGATGTTGATCTTCTGGAGCCAGAAACTTTCATTAATGATACAATTATTGACTTTTACATCCAGTGAGTTCCTTCCAATGCAAGTTTAACTTCTTATGGCTTAATATTAACACAGAACTGATGGATCTTCTTTTTTCAAACGTTTGCTTTTCATTCTCCAACAGCTGAACTCTAATGCCTAGGTTATATTGTCTAGGTTCTGCTTTAATTCCTTTGGAGAAAGTATTGCTTTAGTTATGTCTTCTCTCTAAACTCAACAAGTTATCAAGTTCTTATTTGTATTACTGATTTATAGGTACCTGAAGAACCAAATTCCTTCTGAAGAGAAGCATAAATTCCATTTTTTCAATAGTTTTTTCTTTCGGAAGCTTGCTGATCTGGACAAAGATCCCTCTAGTGCTCTCGATGGTCGAGCTGCCTTCTTACGTGTTCATAAGTGGACAAGGAAGGTGGATCTATTTGGCAAAGACTATGTTTTCATTCCTGTCAATTTTGGGTAAGAACAGTCAGAAACGTTTTGTTTAATCCACCGAGGGGAAAAGAACTCTAAGATGACTTTGTTTGACCGTGCTGATGCATTTTTTCTTTTCATTAAATGGCTAGTCTTCACTGGAGTTTGCTAGTAATATGCCATCCTGGTGAAGTGGCAAGCTTCAAAGGTTAGTTGTTCTTGAAATTTCTGAGATCTACATGCACTTGAACCAGATTCTTAATCCTTTCTGTCTTACATTTCAGAGGAAGACCCTGAGAAGTCCCTCAGACTACCTTGTATTTTGCATATGGATTCCATCAAAGGGACTCATGCGGGTCTAAAAAATCTTGTTCAAAGGTATCATAGATTCTTAAGACTTTTTTGTTGCTTTTGATTTGAAGCTTATCGTTCATTGATGGATGCATCAAATTTTTTTCCCCCTGAATTACAGTTATTTGTGGGAAGAGTTTAAACAGAGACAGAAAGAGGCATCAGAAGATTTATTTTCCAAGTTTATGAATTTGCGGTTTGTCCCTCTTGAGGTACTGCCTGCTCTTAGCCGTAGGTACCAAAAAGTCACTTCTGTTGAATTCCACAGATAACTGTATGCTTTATGCATTCTCCTAAGATGTTGAATTCAATAATGTACTCTCCTGCTAACTCCTTTTTCAAGTTCAGCATAACTCATGAGAAATGCAGTCATTATATGAACATTCTGAAGCATTTCCTGTGTACACCAGTGGACCCCAAAGTCACACTTGTTGTTTTTAAGGACAATGACCATAAGGATGTTTTCATTAGAAAAGAAAAGGAACTTTCTAACTCGGGTGTTCTTCGATGTGTGTTTAGCTTTACAGAGTGATGTGGATACTATCTTTTCTTTCTGCTCTCCATGCCACTGTGGTGAAAGGGCCAATCATATTTGAACGGAAAATTTGAGGAGACAGTACATTATTGTTTCTCATATTAAGTGTGCCTTCTTGCAGCTGCCTCAGCAGGAAAATTCATTTGATTGTGGACTTTTCCTGCTTCACTACTTGGAGCTGTTTCTATCGGAAGCCCCTGTGGAATTCAACCTCTTTAACATAAACAAGTTCTCCAAATTTGTAAGTGAATTTATTTTCTGTATGGCTAAAAGTTATAGATGTTGTTTCCATATGGTTGAGCCTCCTCCTAAATAGATCTACGCATCTCAATTAGATTGGGGGTCTACGATCAGTAAGACAGTAACTAGGTCTGCTTTTCCATTTATTTATGATGTTAAAGGCGAATCATGGTGTTGGCAACTTGACAGTGTCGCACTTGAGAAAGCTGGCACATAGCTTTGTCCATATTTCAATTGTACATGTAAAGGAAGGAATGACACCGATCTCTCTTTTCCGTTGTCTTTGAAAAGAACATTGATCTATCTTGTTTGCCTGTAAGATACTCTGATTTCTACTTAAGGCAATATCTTTCTGATGGCCAGTCAATGATGTGCAACTTCTTTTCCTCTTCTATTGATGTGCAACAGCTGAGTGGAGATTGGTTTCACCCTGCTGAGGCGTCACTCAAACGCTCTTTAATTCAGAAACTGGTTGCGGAGCTATTGGAAAATCGTGACAAGGAAGATATTTCTTCTGGTGATGTTGCTGGTAAAGCACAATCTGATTTTCCAGATGGCGGGAAAGAATCAGGAGTTGAGTTTGTGGCAAGGAAATTCACTCCTACAGAAGGCAGCCAGGGGATTGAGATGACCATGTTAGAAACATCATCTCCTATGAGAAACTCTGAATGTATTGTTGGTGAGCCAAATTTGGTGCTGAGGGATCTTTTTCATCCGGGAGTTTCAGCAGGATCATTGCATGCTAAGTGTTCATCCTTTGAACCATCGTCATCTTATTACCATCTCAATGGTGATGTGGCACCTATGGAGGTATTCCCATTTACATCCGTTACTGTAAGGTGATTTATATGTGGTGGGTAATCATGCATGAAACTGTTATTTCACTTGAATGCATTGGAAAGTTGCTTCTCATATCGTTTTCAGCTCATGTGATGGTCTTTGTTTTATTCTTTTTCCGGGCCAAGTAAAGGAGATTCATAGAATTATAAAAGAGCTGCTCTTGACTTCTCTTTTTACCATAGTGTATTATATGTCGTAACTGAGTATTGACTTGCCAATATCGATCGCTTAATGAATGGTTTGGTCTATTAGCAGGCTGATCCAGATGGTGAGTTTATGGAGTTCCCATCTAGTGAAGAAGCTGTTTTCTCCAACTCTTTCTCATTCCAAGGATTAACTGCTGGTGCTTCCTCTTGGAAACCTAAATTTTCCATGAGGGAAGATGCAGAAGATTCATCATCTGAAACCTCAAGTTCAGACTGTGAATCTGATGATTCTACTTCAGAATCAGATATTGGGATCACTGAAAATTTTGCCTTGACCACCAATGGCTATGATGCATGTAAGGAGGAGAACATCAACACGCAAACATCTTCTGCTTGTTTGTTGGATGATGATAACAACGAGTGTCTGACAGATAGCCATGCTTCAATGTCTCCTGACATCATGTTGGAAACTTGCGCCACGGAAGGTGCAGACTGTACAACAACCAATATGGCTTGCGATTCCAAGAAGAATCATGGAGATAATAGGAGCATAAGTATGACAACACAACTGCAACACGAGCATAATGCCACAAGCAGAGAGTTGTTGGATCAGAAGGAAGAGGCTATCGGCGATGGTGTGACCTCAGCACTCAACGGCAATGATGCATGTTTAGAATCAGCCTCGAATAGGAATCTGCCCGAAATCGACATTCCAGAAATGAAGCCAGTGGAGGAAGAGCCTGGAATGGTGGACGAGAGAGCTCCAAAAGGGAATGTAGAATCGGCCTCAAATGGCGATTTGCCAGAAACTGAGGTTGCACAATTTGAGGCAGAAGAGCCGGGAATAGTGGATGAGAAAGCTGCAGAAGGGGATTCAGCATCACACTTGAAAAGGAATGTGACAGATATCGAGGGAGCCGAAGCAGACTCGGGATTAGCACAGGAGAATCCTTCGAAAAGGCTCCGGCTGTTGGAAGATGAGCCTGTCGACGGGGCACCACAAGAGGGTACGTTTCTCGAAGGGGTGGCTTGATTCATAGAAATCTTAAGGGTTGCAATTCTTATAGGTTGGGAGCTAATGTATAGGGATGAAAGAAGGTTGAATAGAGATGTCAGTTACTGTGAATAGTACTAAAATCGGGTTAGTGGGCAACGTTAATTTTTAGTGGGATTAAGGCGCTGTTGATCAGGAGTGTGCAATGGTCCGGTCTCTATCAGACCAAATTGAAGTTTGGACCGAACCACACCTAACATAATGTTGTCCAGTTTTTGTAAGATGGATCGAAATGATATTTGGATTGGATCAAACCGAGCCAAATGGACCAAATGCTATGTTGGTTCGATACTTAGTTTTAAGATATCTTCATCAATGGATCGCAATTCTCATGAGTTTAGTTCGATCCGGATTGGGCCAACTTGTTGCACACCCTTAATGTTGATTCTAAGATTGACAGAGAAGTGGATACCATAGAGTAGAATTGTTTCTAGGAACTTGCCAAGAAATAGTGTAGCTATAAGTTTGTTGCTTTCATCCTGTCTGGCCGAAGGAAGTAGAGATGACAATTACTTACTCATTGGTATTTTTATCAGAATGTACGCATTTATTATGGGTAGGGTATGAATTTATTTTATATAGATTTGAGTAATAGTTGGGTAGATAGAATTGGGTTTGGATTTTGTTTGCAAAGTGAAATTGGATATAGGTTGGGTTTGGGTACTCATCAATTTGAACTTACTTTAAATGCTTATTTTAGGCATTAAAATGAATACCAAAAGTTTAAGGTATCAAAATATAGAATTTATTGTGCTAATGTTCCACATTTTTATAATTGTTCATAAAATTCATTTACTAAGTTGTAATTTTTTATAACCAGGAACCCTATTACTTGTACGGATGGCAAAAATATCCGTAACCGTAGATATCCGCCCGACCAACCTAATCGGGTAGGGTAAAACCCGAACCCGAAGAACTTTTAGTGGGTACGGGTTAAACCCAAACCCGAATATTGCGGGTAATGGGTGGACATGGTTTTCTCACTATCCAACCCGAACCCGCCCGATGATACACATGCATATGTATTTTGTCTAGAATTAATCAATATTTTTCTCGAACATATTTTGTATTTAGCATATAAATATAATATTTTTATGAAATTGTGTTATTTTAATTAATTTTCTTCATTCTAGTGAATTATTGTCGTATTTTTCTTCTTACGTAAAGTGAGAATACTCGTGAATATCAACATTTTGGTTGGAGTTATAAAGAGAAACTATTACCCATGGATAACCGTTGATACCCGAAACCCGAACGGGTATGGGCACTGTTTGGATTTTTTACCCGTTTCTTATGTGGGTATGGGTAAAACCCGAACTACTTTGAGTAGGATAACGGATATGCACTATCCGTCCCCGACCTATTGCTATCCCTAATTACTTGTCGTCACTTCTATTCGTTGTTCTGGTCTTTTTCCTTTGTCCAAAGTTGGTTGTTTTGCAACCATATCTTCATTTGGCAAATGAAGTTGGTCATAGTGATTGTATCCTTATCTTACTTTAATTGTTAGTGTATTCTGTATTATCAGTTTATTATACGCTTAGACTATTTAGAGCTGTCAATATTGTAGCTTAAAAGGCTTTTGAATTGGTAGTCCGGTTATTAGTCACTATTGATGTTCGGGTTGCTCCCAACGTCAGATTTCTTGCTACAGGCACCGAGAGAGGGTTAAGATCACCTTACACGTTGATCTTTGCTCGTGATACTTACTCCCACCACTTTCTGTAAAAGATCCGTTAGGCGATACTCTTCGATGCTCAAGTTAGTATTGAGTGGTGAGTTAAGGGGAAGAATGAAACTAAAGATTTAGTGTAGGAGAAGATGGTTCATGCTAGCGGTAGTACCAACTACTAATAGTAGCAAGCTCTCTAAATGGGCTCGCTCAGACCTTTTTATGTTTACCTTTGCCGAAAGATGACAGAAGCCTTTCATAGCGATCGTCCAGGGGGACAACAGAGGATGCACGACGGTGTCGAAGGATGTGTCGTCGCCTCAAGCGTCCACTCGCAAGTGTGATGTGCTGTTAGAAACACGTTTTCTAACGGAAACGGGTTTCTATGTCATCATTATCATTATCATTAGGTTTTATTAAATATGGTTAGTAGTATTTTAGTCAAGTTAGGATTATTATTAGGGTTTCCTAGTACTCCCTATAAATATGTACTTGTGATTCATTAGTAAGAAGTCAAGAAAGAATTATCAAAGAATCTCCTAAACCCTAATTGCCCTATCTTCCCAATTCTCGATCTCAATCCCTCTAAAGGCCTAGGCCGATTCCCTTATGTTCTTCCCCAATTCTTTCCCAAATCCCTAATTCTATCTTCTCAATCCCTAAATTCCCAAATATCACCCAATCCAAATCCCGTTAGAAACTTTGTTTCTAACATTTGGTATCAGAGCCCGGTTTCGAGAATTGAGTTTTTCACAACTCTCAACCGGGGGCGAGTTCTACAACTAGTTCGACGATGAGCTCTTCAAAGCTCTCGAACCTGTCGTGGGCAGAGCTGCGTGAACGGGCTCGGCGCATCGGCCGTCGTTGGAGCTCCGAGGAGCTGCCGACCGGGAATGCCGCCACAGCAAAAGTGGAGTGTGGGGCGAATCGACGGGTTAAATTGTCGGCGCATTCGCCGGCCGCCTTTACAGCCGAGACCCAGACAACCCAAACTCCAGTGCCCATCAACCCAGAGATTCATTCGATGAGGGCGAATCTCAGCGTCGGGAGTAATCGACAAAGCAAGGCAGAGGCAGAGGCAGCATCGGGTTTCCATCTCGGCCATCCGGACCGACGATCGAGGACTGCCTCAGGTGATGCAATCACCGTCGGAAGAAAGAACTCGGTGGCATGGGAGCCGCCAGCCACACGCCTGGAGGATTTCTCGCTGCCGATGACGGGAAAGGAGAAAGGATCTCGAGCGGCGACTCCTGCCGTGCGAGGAACGACGGCCCCGGAAGCGAGCGAGCCATCGTTGCCGCGAGATGAGTTGCTGGAGAAGAGAGACGGGGGCGGTGAGCCTCTGCGTGCGTCGCGGGCGAAGATGGAGGACGACGAGGGCGGCGGGTTCCCTCTTCCCGCAAGCCTGGGGTTGGATAAGCCACCGGGGAATGAGATGAAGGTTCCGTTGGAGCCTTGTCTTGAGGCGCCAAAGACGTTCGTGGCGACGCAGCCGCCAAGGAGAGGAGTAATGTCGGAGACAAGAATCATGGAGGGCTCGACGCCGGAGAATGAGAGGAAGAAGAAGTCGATCGATGTGGCGGCGGAATTCTTTGCGTTGGCGACCGGGAGGGAGGAGGAATTGCCGGTGAAGGCGTTGGCTGCCGGGAAAAGTGATTTGCAGCCGCCGTGTGTGGTTGCTCCAGGCGTGACGGCCGACCAGCCGGTGTTTCTTTCGTGGCCGGAGGAGGAAGTGAGGGCGAGGGACAGCGGCTGCATCATGTGTCTCCAGAACCCTACATCAGCTGACTTGGGCCGTGGAGCAAGGCTTGTCCCATTGGACCAATCTAATTGGGCTGCCAAACCGAATGGGCCAGAGGGTGGGTTCTGTGCAAGGGAGAAGAATTCCATCAGTTTGGGGCAAGGGATGACAATACTTGGGCTCAAGTCAGACCCAATGGTCCAATCAAATGAGCCACGTCTTGAGAGTGATGGGGTGGAGCAAAGGCTTGGGCCACGCAAGGGAGGGCTCACTTGGCTCTCATTGGACCGAGAAGCTCTGCAAGGAAGCCTTGGTCATGGGCCGAAGAAAATGGAGGTTGTGGACTTCAACATAGATGCTGGGCCGCAAGGCAAAATTGGGCCTCATATGGTTTGTCTTATTGGGTTTATTTTGCAGCAAGACAACTTAAGGAAAGAAGAGGATTTGGTGGGCTTAACAAGGGGGCTTTCAAAGGAAGCAAGCCCAAACGAATTGAGAAGGAGTAAGAATGCAAAAGAGCTTGACATGTGGATGGGCCAGAATTACTTCTTTCAAGCTATTGTGGGCCAACACAAGAGTGAAGGAAAAGAAGTTTGGGAGCTGGTCTTCACAACCATGCCCGCGGCGGAATCAATAGAGTTGTCCATTGAATATTTCAAGCTGGTTAGGGATGAGGAGTTCAAGGAAGGGCACTTCCCTGATCCTTACTTTTTGGAGTTTGAAAAAGAGGATGGAGAGTCATTTGGACATGGTTGTGGCACGAGCCTTGTGTGTAAGGGAGAAGCCATGAGAGTCGAAGTTGCTGGCATGAGATTCGTTCAAGTAGTGGAGCCCGATTGGAAGAAAAGGAAGCGCAAGACACGGAGCAGTTGGTGTACTGATAGCGCAAGAGAGGCGAAGACGGGGGTCGAATCGGTCAACCTTGAGGGCAAGGTTGGTCTCAAGGGGGAGGGGATGTTAGAAACACGTTTTCTAACGGAAACGGGTTTCTATGTCATCATTATCATTATCATTATTATTAGGTTTTATTAAATATGGTTAGTAGTATTTTAGTCAAGTTAGGATTATTATTAGGGTTTCCTAGTACTCCCTATAAATATGTACTTGTGATTCATTAGTAAGAAGTCAAGAAAGAATTATCAAAGAATCTCCTAAACCCTAATAGCCCTATCTTCCCAATTCTCGATCTCAATCCCTCTAAAGGCCTAGGCCGATTCCCTTCTGTTCTTCCCCAATTCTTTCCCAAATCCCTAATTCTATCTTCTCAATCCCTAAATTCCCAAATATCACCCAATCCAAATCCCGTTAGAAACTTTGTTTCTAACATGTGCCCCCGTGCCATGTCTAGGCGCTCGTGCCCCGTGGTAGGGCATAGTGTAACGAGGGTACCACATAAGGGAGGAGGTATGAGCGTAGGCAATGAACCGGTACATCGTGGGTAGTGAGTGCCGCGGGTGGTGAGGGTTGTGGGCCGGAAGCAAAGTGGGTCCGAGCCCGTGAGCGCTGCGAACACTGAGCGCCGTAGGTGGTACCGTCGTGGGCTCGGGAGTGAAGTGGGCTAGGGTCGTGGGCAGCGAGTGTCGTGGACAGAGAGTGAAGTGGGCCCAAGGTCGTGAATGTTGTGGGCCCTGATGTAGTAATAATGTTTTTACTTAGGGTCAATTTCCCCTGTTGAATTATAGGATTCAAAGGGGCAAGCTAGATTGGTGAATTGTTTTTCCAAGGTCGGTGTCAGCGGAGTCCTCAGATAATTTCGATGGTTTTCGGTAAGGTTCTCTGGCCCTGTCCACGTGATGTGCAGAAAGAAGCGGAGTCCGGATAAAGTTTCTAGAAGATTGAACTCATTTCCATAAGCATTAGACGCTAGGAGATTATGCCCCTTCAGGACTTTAATAGAGACTGATCGGGGATCGCGATGCACTGATTCACGTGAGGGAATATTCCCTCCTTGCTTTTTTGCCTCAACCTTCAGTTTGCTTATATATATAAGGCTCCACCCTTACTTCTTGATTTCATCCTAAAATACACTCCCTCTTTTTAGATTTGTGGGAAGCTCTCAAGTGGTGGGCAGCAGTGAGGAGGGAGTTACTTAGGTGGTGTCGTGAAGCTAAATGTTAGATTTCACCAGGTATGTCGTTCTACTCCCTCTCTCTAGTGTCATTAGATTACCT